CCAAACCTACCACTACCACTACCTACCCCCATCACTACCCCCATCACTACCCCAACCCACTACCACAACCCTACCACTATCACTACCACTACCCCCATCACTACCCCAACCACTATCACTACCTAACCCACATCACTACCCCCATCACTACCCCAACCACTACCACAACCCTACCACTATCACTACCACTACCCCCATCACTACCCCCATCACTACCCCAACCACTACCACAACCCTACCACTACCCCTACCACTATCACTACCTAACCCACATCACTACCCCCATCACTACCCCAACCACTACCACAACCCTACCACTATCACTACCTAACCCCCATCACTACCACTACCCCAACCACTATCACTACCTAACCCCCATCACTACCCCAACCCTATTACTACCCCCACCACTACCCCCACCACTACCTCAACCACTGCCACTACCCCTGCTACTACACCCTGCCCCGACCCACCCAGCTACGACCAGACCTAGCACAGTGTGCAGGCCTTCATCCAGCAGTGAACAGACCATGGCTGCTGATGAGGATGACAGATGGGGAAGGCCTTCATCCAGCAGTGAACAGACCATGGCTGCTGATGAGAATGACAGGGAAAGCCTTCATCCAGCAGTGAACAGACCATGGTTGCTGATGATGACAGATGGTGAGGCCTTCATCCAGCAGTGAACAGACCATGGCTGCTGATGATGATGACAGATGGGGAGACCTCCATCCAGCGATGAATAGACCATGGCTGCCGATGCTGATGATCATGTGCAGCGTGCGGTGCCGTCGGCGGCCGGGGTTGGAGGTTCACAAAGGGACGCGGAGTCAGATGCGGTCGCCTGAATTGTTTATTTATTTAGCCGCGCAGGGTACCTGTGCGAAACGACGAATCGTTGAAGTCAACGGGTGATTCGTCATCGCTTGGGGGCGGTGCGTTCGCAAGGTAATAGGCCACGCTGAAGATACAGATACTCCTTGTACTTACGAACATTCGACTTAGGAACTTTCAGAGATACGAACAAAACCTGTCCGTCGTATGTCCAGTTGCCCGTTCCGACCGAGTTTCGGGTGGTTTTTCACTGGCACATCTGAGCCGAGCCAACATGAGGCCAGCACGGTACGGGTGGTTTTACACTGGCACATCTGAGCCGCGCCAGCTCGAGGCCACGACGGTACGGGTGGTTTTCCACTGACACATCTGAGCCAAGCCAACTTGAGGCAAGCACGGTACGGGTGGTTTTCCACTGGCACATCTGAGCCAAGCCAGCTCGAGGCAAGCACGGTACGGGTGGTTTTCCACTGGCACATCTGAGCCAAGCCAGCTCGAGGCAAGCACGGTACGGGTGGTTTTCCACTGGCACATCTGAGCCAAGCCAACTTGAGGCAAGCACGGTACGGGTGGTTTTCCACTGGCACATCTGAGCCAAGCCAGCTCGAGGCAAGCACGGAACGAGTGGTTTTCCACTGGCACATCGGAGCCAAGCCAGCTCGAGGCAAGCACGGTACGGGTGGTTTTCCACTGGCACATCTGAGCCAAGCCAGCTCGAGGCCAGCACGGTACGGGTGGTTTTCCACTGGCACATCTGAGCCAAGCCAGCTCGAGGCAAGCACGGAACGAGTGGTTTTCCACTGGCACATCTGAGCCAAGCCAGCTCGAGGCCAGCACGGTACGTTGCTGGCGTCGTCGCGCGCGGACTCTCCGCGGCTCGGTTCCCGCAGTGAAAAGAGCAACCTGGACCGTGCCGAGGGCTGGCTCGGCACGGCTCAGATGTGCGCCAGTCGAAAAAAATAAACGACACACACTAGAGGCGTTAGATTTGGATGTGAGGAGCTCCCAGATGAAGCAGCAATTCTGAGATCATTGCACAGGGTCCTATGGAGCTGCCGAGGGCCCCCAGACATCTCCGAACACCCCCACAACCCCCCCCCACCCCCCCCACAACTCCCGCAGAGCCGCTGGGAGCCGCTCATTTGCGATGGGGCCTTGATGAAGTTGATGAGGCCGTTGGTGGAAGAGTCGTGACCCGTGGCCGGCTGGGCCGTCGTGAGCTCCGGCTCGATCACCTTGGCCAGCTGCTTCCCCAGCTCCACCCTGTGGGGAGGGGGGGGGGTGGTGTAGCGGTTAGCGCTGCGCTACGAACCCGGCGATCCGGGATTCGGACCGGTGACGATTATCTGAACCGGTATTCTGGGTACGTGTCTGTGTGCTCGATTCCTGCTCAAGGCCACACCAGTGACGATTATCTGAACCGGTCCTGGGCCTCCCCTAGGTCAACCTCAGCCTCTAAATGAGTACACAGACAGACGTACGAACTCACCCCCACTGATCGAAGCTGTTGATGTCCCAGATGATGCCTTGAACAAAGATCTTGTGCTCATACATGGCTGAGGAACAGTGAGAAAGCATCATCATGATTATCGTCATCATCATCGTTGTCGTCGTCATCTTCGTCATCATCATTGTCATCATCATCATCATTGTCGTCATCATCATCATCGTTGTCGTCATCATTATCATTGTCATAATCATCATCATCGTCGTCATCATCCTTATTGTCATCATCATCATTGTCATCATCATCGTTGTCGTCATCATTATCATTGTCATAATCATCATCATCGTCGTCATCATCCTTATTGTCATCATCATCATCATTGTCATCATCATTGTTGTCGTCATTATCATTATTATTGTCATCATCATCGTCGTCGTTGTCATCATCCTTATCATCATTATCATCATCATTGTCGTCGTCGTCGTCGTCGTCTTCGTCGTCATCATCATCGTTGTCGTCGTCATCATCGTCAACATCATCATCGCCATCATCATCTTCAGCATCCCCCGGGTGTTGAGTAGACCTCTCGCTTGCTATGGCTGCAGGTCACGTGTCTCCTCTGCTCAACCGGCGAGCCAGAAAATATTCACCGAGCTAACCACTGCGCCACCGCTCATCGCATCATGGCAGCGACACACGTCATCATCAGATTCATAATCGTCATCACAATCAGCACCACCATACTCATCATTATCAATGGTACCAGATTCATATTCTTGGTTCTTTCGGTAAAGTCACGTAGAAGGGAAATAATAAAATAATATTAATATAAAACAATTAAAAAAATCGTAATCACCAGGTTCACCAGCATTACGATATTCATCAGCATCACCAGAATCATAATCATCATCAAGATATTCATCAGCATCACCAGAATCATCATCATCACGTTGTTCATCAGCATCACCAGAATCATCATCATCATCATCACGATGTTCATCAGCATCACCAGAATCATCATCATCATCACGATATTCATCAACATCACCAGAATCATCATCACGATGTTCATCAACATCACCAGAATCATCATCATCATCATCACGATATTCATCAACATCACCAGAATCATCATCATCACGATGTTCATCAGCATCACCAGAATCATCATCATCATCACGATGTTCATCAGCATCACCAGAATCATCATCATCTTCATCACGATGTTCATCAGCATCATCAGAATCATCATCGTCGTCATCATCATCATCAACCCGGCGGCACTCACCAATGAGGACGCCCAGCATGTTCGGGGTGAGCTTGGAGAACACGATGGAATTAGTCGGGCAGTTTCCCACAAACACCTGCGCACACACACACACAAAGACAAAGGTCCCCCGTGTAGCCTTAACAGACTCTCTCTCTCTAGCGCATGGCACGTGCGTGCAATTCACACGTCCAACTTTGAGTCTGTGAGCCACGCGATAGCTCCAGGAGTAGCGCGGCTAATGATGCTCAGGATGGATCGTAGGCAGGCCAGCCTAAATGTTTCTAACCAGCAAAGACACCGCTGGTACCAGTCATCGGCAAGTCTACTCAGCTCCACGTCCTCCTGTACCACATCACTCCATCTCTTCTCTAGCCCGTGCCGCGCCCGTTTAGCCCCCTCGATCCGGCCGAACAAAAGCTGTTCAGGCATGCGGTGGCTGGGCATGCGGGCTACATGACCCAGCCAACGCAGCCTTGCCTGCCGGAGGAGCTCACTGATGGGACTTTGCCCAGATCTTTCAAGGATTTGTGAGCTCCTCACACAATCCAGCCTGGTTAAACCCAGGATGGATCGTAGGCAGGCCAGCCTAAATGTTTCCAACCGGCGAAGATGCTCCACCAGGGGGGTCCACGTCTCGCAAGCGTAGAGAAGGGAGGGAATGACCGTGGCCGAGAAGACCTGAAGCTTCGTGCGGAGCGACAGACCAGGTAGCTTCCACGCAGCGTTACGCAACCGATGAAAAGATAATGCCGCTCGACTGATTCGGAGTGAGACCTCTGCTGTCAAACTGGAGCCGGTCATGAGCACACTGCCCAGGTATGGGAAACTCTCCACTCTCTCCACAACTGCCCTATCACCAATTGGGAGTTGTGGGGGTGGAGTGTCCGATGGTACAAAATGCCCAGGCAGGTGCTTAGTTTTGGTGGGGCTGATGGTAAGGCCCCACCTCTTAGTGGCAAGCTCCAGGTTCAGCAGCAGTGCCTCCAAATCCCCCTCTGAGTGAGCGGCAATTACCAGATCATCGGCATACATGACATGGTTGAGCAATAGGGAGCCATCCCTTGATCGCACCCGGGCATCGATCAGCCACCCATTGTATCTGTACCAGATGGGAATTCCTCCAGTACAGCTATTGAAGGCTTCACGAACTACGTGGTCGAAATAGATGTTAAATAATGTGGGAGACAGAGGACATCCCTGTCGCACCCCAAGGTGAACAGCGAATGGCTCCCACTCCCGGTCACGTAGTTTTACCCGGGCCCGCTCACCATCATGAAGGTTCTTAATGATCGTGAGCAGAGGGTCAAGGACTCCAAAAACACGAAGAACAACCCAGAGCCCAGGCCTACTGATGGTATCATAGGCCTTAACCAGGTCAATAAAGCAGAGTTGTAGGTCTTGTTGGAATTCCCTACACCTCTGCTGTAGCAGACGGACAGAAAATATGGCATCTGTGCAGGACCGCCCTTTCCTGAAACCACATTTGGACTCCGCAAGCCTCTCCTCAGCGTGCCTAGCAAGGCGATGTTGAATAATCCTTGCCAGGACCTTTCCCGGCACACTGAGGAGTGAGATGCCCCTGTAGTTGTTACAGTCTGGGCATCCTTCCAATCCTGCGGAACCCGTCCAGCGGTCCAGACTGTTGTTATTATGTCACGTACACATACGCAGCTACACACACACACAACAACAACAACAACAACAACCGCCATTCGCCACTAAGTGGCGGTGACGTCACCACGATGCTTGTGCCAGGCCAAGTGCACCTTGAGGCCACGTGAAGTGTCGAAAGCCCGCTGGCAGGAGGTCACGGGGCAGACCCAGGTGCCACTGGTCGACTGACCGAGATGACCGAGATGACTGGCTGATGCACCACCTGTGCCCCCTACTGTGCCAACTTGCTGTGCTTTAGCCACCCGGCGCTCCGCTCGTTGTTGTGAGCGTCGCTCCTCCGCCCTCCGTTGTTGTTGGAGGGCGACTGCCTCCAACTGCCCAGTAGCGTCCTTCACGAGCCTCCTCCACTGAGGCCGATCTTGACACCGCTGGTACCAGTCATCGGCAAGTCCACTCAGCTCCACGTCCTCCTGTACCACATCACTCCATCTCTTCTCCAGCCCGTGCCGCGCCCGTCTAGCCCCCTCGATCCGGCCGAACAAAAGCTGTTTAGGCATGCGGTGGCTGGGCATGCGGGCTACATGACCCAGCCAACGCAGCCTTGCCTGCCGGAGGAGCTCACTGATGGGACTTTGCCCAGATCTTTCAAGGATTTGTGAGCTCCTCACACAATCCAGCCTGGTTAAACCCAGGATGGATCGTAGGCAGGCCAGCCTAAATGTTTCCAACCGGCGAAGATGCTCCACCAGGGGGGTCCACGTCTCGCAAGCGTAGAGAAGGGAGGGAATGACCGTGGCCGAGAAGACCTGAAGCTTCGTGCGGAGCGACAGACCAGGTAGCTTCCACACACACGTACACACGTACACACACACGTGCAAAAAACAAAGATAAATATCCCCCATATAGCCTTAACAGACTGTAGGGGCAAGTGCTGTTAGCGAGCACCTATGAAGGCCGCAACGGCACACGAGGGGGTGGGTGGCCAGCACCACGCCCGACCGCCTTTGTCTCCCTAGTGGCGATGTTTACTACACACTGCACCAAGTACTCATTTGAGGCTGAGTCGACCTAGGGGAGGCCCAGGACCGGTTCCGATAATCGTCACAGGTGTAGGCCGTGAGCTGGAATCGAACTCGCGTCGCCGGGTTCATAGCGCAGCGCGGCGCTAACCGCCACACTAATAGTTGAAGGCAGTATAGTCCTATAGCAATAGAGCAAGTGCAAAAATCACTGCATCGGAATTGATAGCTTGAAAGCGCGGGGCCCGTAGGATTTGCTACTTTTGCTACGAGGATCATCCGGCACTGCCGCCACGTACCTTGTGAGGAAGAATGTTGTCGAGGGCCTCGCCAGTGAGGCCAGAGGCCTCTAGTTCAGCCTTGGCCTCGCCTGAAGTCTTCCCCCTCATCAGCGCCTCGGTCTGGGCCAGGAAGTTAGCGATGAGGACCTGGGAACGACGCCACACACGGGAGGAGGTTGTTGTTGTTATTGTTGTTGTTGTCGACCACAGCCACGATCAATCCACTGGTGAATGAAGATCAATGTGATGGTGTTGGTGATGTCTCTACCCCACGTGCTCATCAGTGTAATCACCATCACGTGCTCTATCCACTGCTGGATGAAGATCAATGTGATGGTGGTGGTGATGTCTCTACCCCACGTGCTCATCAGTGTAATCACCATCACGTGCTCTATCCACTGCTGGATGAAGATCAATGTGATGGTGTTGGTGATGTCTCTACTCCACGTGCCGTGTGGGTCAACAGGGTATGGGGGTTGGAGGTGCTCGCGAGGTCGGAGGTCGCGACCCCGAGGTACCGTGTGGGTGGACAGGGTATGGGGGTTGGAGGTGCTCGCGAGGTCGGAGTGCGCGACCCCTAGGTACCGTGTGGGTCGACAGGGTACGGGGGTTGGAGGTGCTCGCGAGGTCGGAGGGCGCGACCCCAAGGTACCGTGTGGGTCGACAGGGTACGGGGGTTGGAGGTGCTCGCGAGGTCGGAGGGCGCGACCCCGAGGTACCGTGTGGGTCGACAGGGTACGGGGGTTGGAGGTGCTCGCGAGGTCGGAGGGCGCGACCCCGAGGTACCGTGTGGGTCGACAGGGTACGGGGGTTGGAGGTGCTCGCGAGGTCGGAGGGCGCGACCCCGAGGTACCGTGTGGGTCGACAGGGTATGGGGGTTGTAGGTTCTCGCGAGGTCGGAGGGCGCGACCCCGAGGTACCGTGTGGGTGGACAGGGTATGGGGGTTGGAGGTGCTCGCGAGGTCGGAGTGCGCGACCCCTAGGTACCGTGTGGGTCGACAGGGTACGGGGGTTGGAGGTGCTCGCGAGGTCGGA